GCCAGACGTGAATTTTTGAAATGCACTCAGTTTTTGGTTAACTGCATTGGGTATCATCTGAATACTATTGCACAAGATTCTTGCTTTCCTTTCAGTGTTTAGTTCCTCCTAGGAAGTTGGGAAGAACAAAGAAAGTTAATTTAATAATGTGCACAAGTATCTCTTTTTTCCAGTAGAGTTCTCTCGTTAACTCGTTTGATTTTCAAAAGCAAATTGAGAGAAAGAGATAGAGAGAGAGAGAACAACTGACTGAAATATTCTTCCTGTTTGTTCTGCAGATGATTGGATTGAATGTTCAACCGGTTCAAGTTTACTACCGCACGTGATCACCGTCAACACTGGAGAAGTGAATTTTACTAAAAACTTTGATGAATCCTTTTTTTGCTAAATATTCCCTTTTCACAATCAGTCTTAAACTATTCTATCTGGGTTTGCTTTATTTGCTAGGATATCACCACCAAGATAATGGAGTTCGCTCGGCAAGGTCCACGAGCCGTTTGCATTGTATCCGGCAGTGGGAATGTCTCGAATGTCACTATTCGGCATCCCAATTCATCGGGTGGCATTTTGACATACGAGGTCCGACGTTAATTTTTCCTTACATTTGATATATTTGTGTGGAGAATGTAAATTTCTTTTGCACCATAATCACGAAAATCGTGATTATTTATTTATTTATTTATTTATTATTATTATTATTATTATTATTATTATTATTATTTATTTTATTTATTTATTTTAACTGAAGGAGCTTCTTTCATTATAATTCATTTCCAGGGCATATTTGAAATTCTTTCCCTTTCCGGATCCTTCACGCCAACAGAGATGCCCGACTCAAAAAACGGGAGATCGGGCAATTTGACAATTACTTTGTCCGGTGCAGATGGCCGTGTTGTGGGAGGCTTAGTTTCTGGAGTTACCATAGCTGCCACCCCTATAAAGGTACACATTTTAGTTCATTTTTACGAGTTTGAAACTAATTTTTACTGGTTAAATTGCAAAAGTAGTTACCTCATCAAATCAGAAGGTAGCACAATAAATCCCAGTTAAACAGAACAACCCCTTGTGTGATCCTGATTAATAAAACGATCCACTTGATTGATTTGAAGTACAAACAAGTATGAAGAGGAAAATTGCAATGTTTTTAAAAGATTGTCGAATTTTTTCGTCAGCATGGTATACTTATTCTGCTTGTAGTACTTCGCCAAAAAACCTGTTTACTTGAGAATTACAAACATTTTACATGATGACCCTTAACTTTTTCAAAATTGCACGCAGGGCCCTTACTTTCCAGCCTAGCTACTTTTAGAAATTTTGAGGGATATATATGCTGATATGCATGATGAAATTCGGGTGATATGTAATGTGAAGAGAAGCTTCATTTAACTTTTTTGGGCATCTCATAATTCTCTCTTTCGCATCACAATAGGTTGTTGTGGCAAGTTTTCTACTAAGCAGCAATTCAGATGAGTTCAAACCCAAGAATCAGCTCCTGATAAGTGGATCAGGGCCGATGGGCCAGCCCGTATCCAAATCAGAAAATCATAGCTCCAATGGCATACAAGGGCCCAGAGGGACTTATTCGCCAACTCCGAATAATTGGAACTTAATGCAAAATGCAGAAAGATCAAGAAAGTCCAATGTGGATTAATCCTATGTTGCCTTTGTTTCTAATTTTACACTGTTAAAAGGGATGCTTTTTCGATTATTTGGAGGAGTCATATGATTATGTACTATAGTTTTTTTTACATTTATAAGAACAATCATCTTCAAGCCTCCCCCATATTTGTGGCAATCTTTACAGTTACTCTTTTACTGCAGCCATAGGTGATTTTTGTAATTTTTGAAACTTCAGGGGGTCATTTGCAGTTATCCAGAAAATTATGTGATATAAAGTTTTAATCTGGTAATCATTCACTAGAGTAGCACAACTGTGACACAATTCACAAGTCTACACAACCCACTCAAATTAATGGCAGACAAGTCCTTTGCATGATTTTTATTACAGATTTTGCTACTACAATATAAAATCTTGATTGTACAAAGACTTTTTATGAAAGTACCTTCATTCTTTTGGAAGATTTGATAGAGATGATTTGGTGATAGTTTCACCTTTTCAAAGAGGAGATGAAGAACTTTTTCATAATTTACAACACATTAATATCATTACATTACATCTTGCAGAAAAAAAAGACAAAATTATTTGTCCAAACATAGTAGAGATACGATATGGAATACGAAATGGAACATCAGATCTTGTCCGTAGATCGCCTTACGAATTGATGGAAACGAAAAAAATGTGTAAAAATCACCATTAAACCTTGACTAACCCCACACAGAGAAGTGAAGAGCACTTGCTAGTTCTTGAACAGCTCCAAACAGTGATCTTGATCCAAATTCCGGCTCCAAAACTTCTTGTAATACTCGGCATATGTGAAACCTCTATAAAGGGCTCGATTTTCTCCACAAGTGATATCTTTTGGTGAACTAATGTAAGCGCTATCACAAGGGCAGAGGAAGGAAGCTATCGAAAGCCTTGACTTATCGGCATTCACTACAGCTCGATGCCAAACACTCTTGTACTTTCCATTACTCAATGCCTAGCAAAAGTAGTTTTCCTAGATTATAATGCAAGTCAAGTATTCAAAGATTATGATGCAATAAGAACCGGGATTTTTTTGTAATTAACCCATTTTTCCTATGATGTTCGGTTCTTACCTGGATTTGGTCACCGATGTTAACAACGAAAGCCCCCGGGCGAGGCTTTATCGACAGCCATTTCCCATCCTTGAGAACTTGAAGCCCGGTGACTTGCAAATCCTGAAGGAGAATGGTGAGTACATTAGGGTCCGTGTGGGCCGGTAGCCCGTACGTGAGATCGGGCTGTGGGCACGCGGGATAATAGTTGATGGCCATATGTTGACCTTGGTCTCCAAATACACTCTTTAAACTGTCTTTCTCCAATCCTAAGCTCTCGGATATGGCTTCCTGAAGCCGAAACCCGAGCTTTCGAACCTCCGTGCAGTAGATACTTACGATATCCCTAAAAATTACCGCCAAGAGAAAAATGTTAAGGTTGTGTTTGTTAAGCATCATAAGCTAACTTATAGTTTATTTGATTAGCTTATAAACTTCTTGTATTCAAATAAGCTTGGTTTAATAGGACGAGCTTTTTTAAAAAAACTCGAGCTTATCTCATAAGCTTTATTTGGGTAGTTTTTCAAGTAAGTCCATTGAAATATTTATTTTAATTAATCTTACCAAACACTTTTATCATTTATCAGTCATATATCATAAGCAATCAGTTATAAGCTCGAAATTTACTTAAATTAGATTTTAGCAAACATGACCTGAATTTACTCTCTCGGCTCATTTTTGTAATCATAATGAGGTTCGGCTTACTTGAAAGACGAAGGATTGGAAGGCCATTCGGGCACGTATTTCTCTAATGGATGACAATAAAGTCTGAGATAGTCTCTCCAGTTATGAACCGTCTCCTTCTTCACGTTAAAACTTGTCGAGAGCCTCATGGTTTTAGACGGGTCGTCTGAGTAAAGCTTCATCTTCTCCTCCACCGGCAAACTAAAGAATTCGCGCGCGACACTCTGCATTTGATCGACTAATTCTTTCGGTACACCATGATTGATCACCTTATGGAAAAGAAAAACAATATTGCAATAGATTAATATTTATGATAAAGATGAGTTTTATTAGTTAAGACTTAAGAAAAAAAAAAAAAACCTGAAAAAAACCGAAGTCACGACAAGCATCGCCAATTTTTCTGACGACGAGGCTTTTGTCTTGACAGCCCAAGTCGATAACGGGTACACTGTGGCACTCAGCAACCTCGGAAAGTTTGGGCCGGTCGGATTCCGGGCGAATGTAGCTGCTCGGGAGGGCCGCGAATTGGATTCCACTAATGAGCATCGAATCCATATCGAATAATCGAAAAGCCTTCACAAGATAATCAAGATCTCTGCACACAAGGATTGACCAATGTACAAACATATATATTATTAGAAAAAAAAAAAATGACCTCAGATAAAGTCTATGCAAACCAAAAAGAGACAATATTCAAAATCTGCAGAACAAGATCTTCACTCCTAATAATGATGAAAATAATTTTTAAGAAAAAACACATACAATTAAGCTCAAGATGTAGCACAATCCCTTTTTGGGCCTTTTTTTTATTATTAAATTTTATTTTATTGAGTATGATAATGGATGTTCATGACTTCATGCACATGAATTCGAAATAAAAATAAAAATAAAAAAAAACCACTTGTTCTTCAAAAATTTAATCTTACCAATTGAAAAGCGCTTCCACTTTTATTTCATATCAATTATCATATGCCTTTTTAAGCAATTTTTATTTTATTTTTTTCATAAATACATGATAACATGCATATAAAACATTTAATATGAATATTAATATATAATCATTAAATCTCACAAAGCAAATTAAAGGTGTGAATGTGTGTATGGATGAACTTAATTAATTATGAAAATATAAGCATAAAATAATCAAATAAATTGAAGAAAATAAGGACCAAAAAAAAATAAAAATGGTGCACCTGGGGATATACAGGTATTCTATTGTCTTCCACTCAAGAGACTGATACTCCTTTGACTCAAGTTTGTGCAAGAGAAATTACAGCCTGGGCTCGTGTTTAAATACACATACAAGGCGAGATTTTTCAATCCAAATAAAAAAGAAAAAAAAATATCAGTGGACCAAATTAAAAAGATAAAAATCGGATGGACAAAAATCAAACACACGTATTCTCAGAAAATATTTTTAATTAACAAACGTATTACGAGAATATGTTTTACTTCTTAAATCGTATTATGAGAAATACGGTTTACGTAATCATGATTAAGAACCGTAATAAAAGTATTCATAATAATGAAATAAAAAAATAATGATACTAGCAGTGGAAAATTAAAAATCAAAAATAAAAAAAAATATATAAATTAAAATACTAGGTATTCATAATAAATAAATAAATAATGAAATAATTAATTAATTCCTGTGCATAAATGCTCATGGGTCAACATGAGCCAACTACGAACGAAAGCTGGCGTGACGTGTCGCCGGTAGCTCGTAATAGGTGCCTCGTCAATTCATCCCACGTCATCAAGCACGTCAACGCGGAGAGGCAGTGACGTCATCGACGCTTATCTTCTCGCGAGGTCCGTGCAAGCTGTGAATGCGAACATGGGAGCTGAGATCAGCCGGATGATGCTAGAGGTGACGTCATAGGGAATACGACATTAAGATTTTAATAATTTCATTTATTTGTTTGTTTTAATTTTTTATTAGGTGGGCTTTGGTCGCCGTGGCACGTGGAACTGTGTTTGTAAGGATCACGGCGTTTGAGGCGATGACTGAAACCGGCTGTACTCGCCGTCGCCGGAGTGTATTATTTGATTTAAAATTCCTTCAGATGGATGGATAAGATTAAGATGATAGGTTTGAGACGTGTCCGTATAACACCAAAGAGTTCAAATTAAAGTCAACTAATCAAAAGTCAATAATTGTACCAAAAAATAAAAATAAAAATCAAAAGTCAATAAAATGCACATTTATATATACTATCGTATATGAGTATATATGCATTTATAAATTTCATCTTTTAGAATTCATGACCTATTGTTATTTATTATTTGCTTGTTAATTCATTCAGCTTTTATCACTATATTTTTATTGTCGGCAAAAACTTGTCTAAAGTCATTCTTTGGTACAATATTAACTTTATCCACATCAATAATAGTATGTGATGTTATAATTTGTATCATTACTGGAACATTAATTCTAAAAATGATTCATTAATTTTTTGGATTAATGTCCACAAAATGATATAAATTGCAACATAACGTACTGTATGTCACAAAAATGATACAAATTTATATTTTATGATAAGTAAAAAGTTAGTGTACTAAAAAAAAGACTTGAGACAATTAAACAAACCTAAATTGAAATTTTGCCTTTTATTATGCTATTCATTGAATCTATCATTGTGACTTATATAAAAACTTGTGAAGAAAGATCTAAAAATAAGAAAACAAAAGTACATAAATAAAAAGAAAAATAAATAAAAATTCAATCACTTCTTACTATATATCAGCCTACCATATGAATACTAATTAGGGTATAATTAATTTTAGCTATCTTGATGCAAAGCTCCAAATCTGTCTCATTATTCATTCAATGAAACTATAGTAAAACAGTGATCGCATGCATGATCCTTTTACTTGTGCAAATCTATCTATCTACTAATGAATAATAGACTTTTTAAGAAGTAAAAACACTATAATATCATAAAAAA